GTGCACCATGGGTAGTGAGTTATTAACTGCTCCTAAATACCAGCAGATGATGGCAGGTGCCAAAGTGTTTGTCTGGTGCAGCCCTGCGGCTCTGTTGTTCAGGTTGGCCAAGCACATCTGTGTGTATAGCGAAAAACTGGGGAGTTTCCATTGCCTTGGAGAGGTCCTTAAAAGCACCTGCTCTGAACACCCCAACCTTTGAAGGAGGGTGGGGAAAGTGTGAATGGGGATTTTTCAGAATTTGGCTATTGCAAGTGGCCCCCATCTCTACACTGGACTGAACCCCCACCCCCTAGATTAACCCTTCCTTTCCCAAAATCCAGAAAAAAATCTGTGGTCTGAGCCCATCTCTAGTCTCCAAAGCCCGGCTGTCGGCAGGAAAGTGACTTTGTTAGAACAGGAGCCAACTCTCCTATTCTCCCTGTAGTGCTTCGGGGGTGATTTTCCTTCACTTTTGCAAGTGACTCCTGGCCTTTGCCCACTGCCAGCATTGCTGGCCCAGCTCCCAGGCTGGGAAACTGAGCTGTGTTCATTGCGTTCCTGAGCATGGGAGGACGCAGCCATTGGGGACGGTTTGCTGAAGGTGCATAAAGCTGAGGAGAGCCCAGCTCATAGCGTGGGAGTTCGGGTGGCTCTGCAGGGCCGACGCCGGCGGGAGTGTACTTTTGTGGGTAAGCTATGCGGCTGCGTCCCAGGGAACCCATGGGGAGCAGACCGGTGCCATAATACCGAGCCAGATTCCATGTTTGGGGGCCAGGCCTGAGGGGACGAGCACTTGGTGAAAGTCGCTTGAGAGAGAAGCACATACACAATAGGGTGATATAGAAGCCACCCCTGGTGCTTAGCCCAGCCTGTGAATTGCAGCATATGGTTAATTACCAGGCATGTCACATTGAATAAAGAGCCTCTCTCAACCCACAGCAGTCAGTGTAGGGGCTGGAGGCAGGTTTGAGTCCCAAGCACCCCTGGGTCTAGACATCTGCAGAGCCGCAGGGCAGTACTGCTTTCTCGCCAGAGAGGGAAATCATCTGAACCCGGCCAGGCGGAGGGTCTTGGGCTTCCAGTTGCCTGGGGCAAGAAAACAATTATTGAATCATTGTAATGTGTACAAATGTCTCAGTAATCTAGCAAAGTTCATTAAAATGCCAGCCTCACGCAGGGCATTGTGTTTAACCTTGGTGATCTCTTAATTACCAGCTCCATATTTGCCTGGGGCGTCAGCAGACAAGGCATCTGCCGCAGCTGCTCGGGTCAAGTGCCAGCCCACTTCTTCTGCTTGGTGTTTTCTAGTCTCCCTCTGCTTCCCATGTGTTTGGTGGCAGGCGTGTTGCCTAGTGATTAGCACCCTGGACTAGCATTAAGGCATTCTGGGTTCTGCTCCCCAGCTGTGACACTGATATACTGCATGACCAGGGGCAAGTCACTTAGCCTCTTCATACCTCAGTTTCCCTACCTGTTGAGAGGCTCAGGCCATTAACATTTGTAAATTGCTTTGAGATCCTTGGAGAGAAGATGCTCTAGATGTATGAGTTTTTGTAGTTAGTGTCTCCCCACACTTTGGGCACAGCCCAGCCAAACAGTGGAGGACTCCGAGAAGAGAATCTGTTTGGGTCTAAAATCCTGCACTGCATGGGCTGGGGAAGGGTCTTCATGTAGTCCTCTCCCTCCATGTACATCCTACCTCCCTGCAAACTGCCAGCATGGGACTGCCACTACCCACCAGCTGGGAGAGGCAAACAGAGCTTGCCTCAGACACTGGCTGAACCTCTCCTGATCAGCCGGCAGCCATGGCTGGGGAGCAACACAAAACTCCCTGCCTCAGCACCTCAACCCTCTGGGAGCTGAGCTTCTTAGCCCTACGGTGCTCTGACCTCGGCCACCTTTGGAAGTCTAAGGTAAGCCAGCCACAGCCTCCAATGGACCATCCAACTAAACCAAGGTTACATTCCCTGCCCCTTTACCCAGCCCTTAACCCCCACATTTCCCAGGATCTTCGGGTCGGTATCTCTCAGCCCAGTGCCTGTTGCTGCACTCCAGTAGAACAGGTTCATTCCAACTCTGTAATGACACAGCACCTTATGGTTTTCCAGGCAGACTTCCCAGTCCTCTCACAGTCTGGCACGAATGTCCAGTTCAGCCTTCAGCTGCCCATCAATATCACCTTCCCAGTCAGTGAGGGTCCTGGCGCAGAGGCCTCCGCCCAGGACTGGATGTCACTCGGTGCAGTTTCTTGGACAGGACGATGGGGCTGTGGGGCCAAGCCCTTCACTGCTCCCATTTGCGCTGTTACCGTGTATTGTTCATACAGTGTCGTGCATCTCCCATGGTGAAACAAACCCAAACATGTCCCAGCCTGTCATTAAAACCTGCCTCAGCTCATTGCAGCTCTCAACTTGCCCCAGTAATATTTGTGGCATCAAACACCTCCAAGACCAGGACCATGGACAGGGAAAGCGGTTGCTGGTCAGAACAAGAGCTCAATGGGAGCTGCTCCCCAGCTGCTGAAATTGTATCAGTTAACTTCATTCCTGTCCAGAGAAAGGCTGGGACTGAAACCCTGGGTCCCAACATGGACTGAAACCCTGGGTCCCAACATGGACTGAACCCCTGGGTCCCGACTCTCCTGGTCTTTGGAGAAATTTGGACATTGTGGCTTGGGCTTTTGCTTCAGAACGACACTCAGTTCGTATTTGAGCTCCCCTAGTCTCCAGGAGGCATTTAAGTTCAGAGTCACGAGTCTTGAAGGCCTGATTCTCCTCTCACATGGATTTTGCTCCATTGGAGCGCCTCTTGGGACTTACAAGTGGAAGGAGACTCAGGCTGGTGGAGTCCATATGTTGGAAAAGAGGAGGAGAAGCCCTGGGGTAAAGACTGTCTTTTTGTTCCATGTCTGTACAGTGCTTAGCACAATGAAGTCCTGATCCCCGGCACTACAGTAGTAATAATAAATAATAACAACAGTTTATAAAGCCACCATTCATCCTCCATTGGATGAGAAGAAGCTCATCCAACCTGCCACTGGGCTCTTGGGATTAGCATTAAACTCAGAGTCCCCTGGACATGCACAAGAGTCTGGGAGTCACCTGTCTACAAAACAGATAACTCTTGAACTAGCTCAGGAGCCCTTGGCAGAGAGGTTGAGCTTGTGTGTGTGTGTGTGTGTGTGTGTGTGTGTGTGTGTGTGTGTGTGTGTGTGTGTGTGTGCGTGCATGCGCGAGGTGTCTATGC